GCAGTTCCAGTTAAATCTACGTGGCCGGGAGTCAGAGCCATTCCCTATTCACCTTGGGGTGCGACAAGGATGTCTTCTGGCTCCTAAATTATTTAACATCTTCTTTGACCACGTAGTTCGAGAAGCTTTCCATGGCTGTACTGGCGGAATTTCCGTCTGGTATAGATACAAAGGGAGGCTGATCGATGGCCGGGTGCGGATAAGGGATGGCTCCCGATTGATCAACCATGTTACGCATGCTGATGACCTGGTAATTTATGCTCACCCGAGAATAGTTGAAAACTTCACCAAAACAAAGGACCTGCTTGGGCCATCCAATACTCCACTCTCTCAACTGCACACGAGTGATGGGGCAGTTGTGGAGAGGGTAGAGCAGTTTCTGTACCTGGGCAGTGTGCTTGCGACCAACTCCGCTTGGTCATAAGAGGTCTCACTCCGAATCAGTTGAGCGGCATTGTTTTCATCAGCTCAGTAACACCTGGCCTATCGCTCAATACGAAGCTCCAGGTCTTCTTGGCCACGGTTATGCCCTCCCTTTATCTATGCTCGTGAAACGTGGGGCCGTTTGAGGCACATATGCGCTGGTTTGAAACATTTAAGCTGGCCTGTCTACGATCCAATCCTGGGTTTAACCAGACATGATTGTGTGAGGAGCTCACAGATGCTTGAAGATCTTGAAATTCCCATTAGTGAGCTCCTCTGGCAGGCGAAGCTTCATTGGCTGGGTCATGTGGGTCGCATGCCCAGCAACCGCATGCCCAAGAAGTTTCTATTTGGCTGGATAGAGGGGGCTAAACGGGCACAGCAGGGGCTAGATAAGAAATTGAGCGATGTGGTAAAAGAGGATGTGGAGTTGAGTGGACTTGCCGATGACTGGTACCAGCGGTGTTAAGATCGGCTCCTATGGAGGATGCTCGTGAAGGACGCTACTGGGCAGTTGGGGGCAGTCTCTCTCCAACAACAACGGAGGGCGGAGGAGCGACGCTCACAACAACGAGCGGAGCGCTGGGTGGATAAAACGCAGCGAGTTGGCACAGTAGGAGGCACAGGTGGTGCATCTGCCAGTCATCTCAGTCGGTCAACCCGTGGCACCTGGGTCTGTCACGTGACCTCCTATCAGCAGCGAGCCTTCCACACTTCACGTGGTCTCAATGTGCACCTAGCCTGGCACAGGCGCCGTGGTGACGTCACCGCCACTTAGTGGCGAATGGCGTCTGTTGTTGTTGCGTCTGTCTTTGTGTACACGTTTGCTTTCATACTAACAGCACTTCCACTTGCCCCAAGATCCCTGTGTGTGTCGTACGAGAGATCTGTATCTTTGTCTTGTGTGTGTGTGCGCCTCCATGGAGCGGTAGTGTCGTGGTCATGACACTGTCAAAAGGATAAATATGGAAGATCTTTGTCTTCGTGTACACATATATACCTGTGTGTACGAGTCAGTGTATGTGTGTGTATGAGTGAGTGTACGTGTATGAGTGAGTGTACGTGTGTGTACGAGTGTACGTGGTGGGGAGCAGTAGTGTAGTGGTTAGCGCGCTACGAACCTGGCGACCCGGGCTCGATTCCGGCTCACGGTCAATACCAGTGACGATTATCTGAACCGGTCCTGGGCCTCCCCTAGATCGACTCAGCCTCAAATGAGTACCTGATGCGATGTGTAAACATCGCCGCTAGAGAGACAAAGGCGGTCGGGCGTGGTGCTGGCCACCCCACCCCTCGTGTTCCGAGCCGGCCTTCACAGGTGCTGCTCGCTAACAGCACTTGCCCCGACATGCCGCTCGGGCTGTACGGGGGGGACATCTTTGACTCCGAACCACCGCGTGTATCGGGGGGATGTTTGGTCAATTCCTTTATAAGGACAGCTGCGAATCCGTGTGTCTGGGGAGCGGTGGCGCAGCGGTTAGCGCTGCTCTGCGCGATCAACCCCGGGCAGAGACGCGGGTTCGGTTCCCGCTCAGGGCCAACATCGGTGACGATCATCTGAAACCGATATCGGGTGGACCTCCTCCCCTAGATCGGCTCAGCCTTAAATGAATATACTGGTGCGGTGTGTGGGAAAAAGAACATCGGCACTAGGGGAGACAAAGGCGGCCGGGCGTGGTGCTGGAATTTAAATATCGAAGCGCTGATGTGGCCAGCAGCACGCCCCACCGCCTTCGTCTCCGCATTGCTGATTGATGCTCGTTTATGGCGGAGTCGACCTAGGGGATGACCAGATAGGTCGTCGTAAATAATTGGGGCGAATATGAGCAGAGGGGATACAAAGGCAGGTCGAGCGTCGTGCTCAGGCTTGACTCAAAGCTTTCGTGACTGCAGGAATTAATATTCTTTGGGTCTTTCGGTAAAGTCACGTAGAGAGGTTCAAAAACATTATTAAAAAAAACTACGACGTTTCGATCGCTTGCGTTGCTATCGAAACGTCGTCGTTTTTTGTAATTTGTTTGAACCTATCTCCGTGACTTTACCGAAAGACCTAAAGAATACTGCCAAGGCTATACGGGGGATCTTTGTCCTTTATTCTACATCCGTGAATCTCTTGTCTTTGTAGCTGCGTGTGGGGAGCGGTGGCGCAGTGGTTAGCACAGCACTGCGCTACGAAGCCGACAGAGAATCGAGTTCCATTCCCGAGTTCGACCCACGACCAATATCTGAGCCGATCCTGAACCTCCCCTAGGTTGACTCAGCCTTAAATTAATACCCGATGCGGTGTGCAAATCATCCGCACTGGGGAGACAAAAGTGGCCGGGCGTGGGGTTGGCCACCCACTGCACCCGGCGTGCACCGCGCCGGCCTTCACGAGTGCTCGCGAACAGCACTTGCCACAAAAATACGTTCAGGCTACACGGGGAATATTTGTCTTTATGTTATAGATGCGTGCTAATACATTCATATGTGAAGACCGTAACACGCACCGAGTGTAGTAATGGGGAGTGGTCAGCGCACTGCTCAACGAGCCCAGCCACCCGAGTTCGATTCCCACTCACGGCCCAACAATCGGTGACGAATATCCGAACCGGTTCTGGGCCTTCCCTAGGTCGACTCAGCCTCAAACGAGAACCTGGATCGGGGTGCAACAAACATCGGCGTTGAGGTGGCGACGGCTCTGTGGGGGATCTTCGCCTTCGTAGTTAATTCACCGTCTTCACGGAGCGTCTGTCACACTGCGCAAGCGCAAAAGGAAACTGGTCCTATAAATGTCACTCGTCTTTTGCATAACACCCCCGGGCGTAGGGTGGTGGCGTGGTCAGTACCACGCTCGGCTGCCTTTGTCTCCCCAGTGCTGACGTCTTGCACACCGCACCAGCAAACTCATTTGAGGCCGGATCGACCTAGGGGAGGACCGCCACCGTGAGCTGCGAGCGGGAGTCGAACTTCTGTGTTAGCCGGGCGCGCAGCGCAGTGCACTAACCATTGCGCAACCGCTCCCCAATACACAAGACAAAGCTCCCCCGTATAGCCTCAACAGATGTATGTTGTTGGGAGGCAAGTGCTGGAAGCGAGTAGGCACACACGGGGGGGGGGGGTGGTGGCCAGTACTGCGCTCCTGCGAGGCAACCAACCACCTCAACGTCCCCTTCTCATCTCCCGTTGACTCTCTTTTTATTTACGATCAGAGGACACAAGAAGATGCTCGGTGTCGTCGGCACTTTGCTTCGTTCATCATTTCGTGTTTTTTATTCAATGCTTTGTTTTACGTGCCCCCCCCTCCCCCCCGTTGACTCTCTCGCCCTCCGCTCCATCTCTCCCGCTCTCGAATGTGCGAGTCGTCCTTGCGCAGGGGCCATGCCGATCTTCTCTGTGTCGTTCCACTTTTAGTACTGCCGGAGCAAATACTCTCACCCCCCCTCTCTCCCTCTCTCTCACCTCTTCACCCCCCCCTCTCACCTCTTCCCCCCCCTCCCTCCCTCCCTCTCACCCCTCCCTCACCTCTTAGCCCCCCCTCCCCCCTCTCACCTCTTCCCCCCTCTCACCTCCTCGCCCTCCCTCTCCCTCCATCCCTCTCATCTTCGCCCCCCCCTCTCCCTCCCTCTCTTCTTCGCCGCCCCCCTCTCTCCCTCCCTCTCCTCTTCGCCCCCCCCCCTCTCCCCCTCTCACCTCCTCGCCCCCCCTCTCCCTCCCTCTCCTCTTCGCCCCCCCCTCTCCCTCCCTCTCTTTTTTGCCCCCCCCTCTCTCCCCCCCTCTCACCTCTTCGCCCCCCCCTCTCGCTGTCTGTGTCGAGGCGGCTGCCCCCCCCCCCGCGCGATCTGCTGTCGCCACCCGAGTCGAGAACGGAGAGGGAGGAGCGACTCGGGGGGGGGGGGTCTGGGGGTTCGATGCGCGGTCACGTACAGACTCTACAAAGACATCGTCATCATCACCACCACCAACACCACCACCATCATCACCACCATCATCATCACCACTACCACCACCATCATCACCACCACCACCATCACCACCACCACCATCACCACCACCATCATCACCACCATCATCACCACCACCACCATCATCACCACCACCATCACCACCACCACCATCATCACCACCACCATCATCACCACCACCACCACCACCATCATCACCACCACCACCACCATCATCACCACCACCAACACCACCACCATCATCACCACCACCACCATCACCACCACCATCATCACCACCATCACCACCACCATTACCACCAACACCACCATCATTACCACCACCATCACCACCATCACCACCACCACCATCACCACCACCAACACCACCATCATCACCGCAGCACCAGCACCATCACCGACACCACCACCATCACCGCAGCACCATCACCACCACCACCGCCGCCATCATCACCGCCACCATCACCACCATCACCGCCACCATCACCGCAGCACCATCACCACCGCCACCATCACCGCCACCATCACCGCAGCACCACCACCATCACCGCAGCACCACCACCATCACCGCCACCATCACCACCACCACCACCGCCACCATCACCGCAGCACCACCATCACCACCACCATCACCTCTGGGGTCTCGGGTCCCTCTGAGCACGCGACGCGGAATCGGTCAAGTCGCCCCCCAGCGTAGCAGCAGCACCTCCTGGAGCCGAGTCGGACTGAGCACTCAGCAGGAAGCGGCTGTCGCGACCCATGCCACCCACAGGAGAGGGGTTTTGGGGGGTGTTAGATCGCGTACACACGCAGCGAGGTTCTCCTGGCCAAACGAAAGACATTACCACAACCACTACCACCAAAGATGCCCCGTGTAGCCTTAACAGACTGTTGGGGCAAGTGCTGTTAGCGAGCAGCACCGGCACGGTACACGGGGGGGGGGGGGGGGGGTAGCTAGCACCACGCCCGGCCGCCTTTGTCTCCCCAGTGGCGACGTTAACACACTGCACCAGATTCTCATTTGAGGCTGAGTCGACCTAGGGGAGGACCGGGTTAAATATTCGTCACTGTTATTGGTCGTGAGCGGGAATTGAACTTGGGCCTCTGCTGGGCTCATAGCGCAGTGCGCTAACCACTGTGCCACCGCTCCCCACCACCACCACCACACACATACACCACCACCACTAACATTACCGCCATCACCAGTACCTTATCTTGCTACCATTATCATCACAATCTCATACACCGCTACGATCATCATCATCACCACCATCTCCACTACTATCACCATCACCACCACCAAGCAGATGCCCCATCGCCCATTATATACCACCACCATCACCACTACTCCCGCCCCCACCAAAATGACAAAGATCCCCCGTGTAGCATTAACAGACTGTAAGGGCAAGTGCTGTTAGCGAGCACCTATGAAGGCCAGCACGGCACACGAGGGGGTGGGTGGCCAGCACCACGCCCGGCCGCCTTTGTCTCCCTGGTGGCGATGTTTACACACCGCACCATTCCCATCATAGACATCACACACCACCACCACCACTCCATCCCCGCTACCACTACTGTCAGCAACATCGCCATCAACATCACCATCAACATCACCACCATTAACATCACCATCAACATCGCCATCAACATCAGTCACCAAATTCACCATCAACATCACCACCATCAACATCGCCATCAACATCACCACCATCAACATCACCATCAACATCACCACCAACATCGCCATCAACATCACCACCAACATCGCCATCAACATCACCATCAACATCACCATCAACATCGCCATCAACATCGCCCGTGGAACGTCGAGGCGTCCCCGTGCAGCTCACCTCGACTCCCGGGGCTGGAGGCGCGGAGTGCGGCGCGCTGTGGGGGGGGGGGGGGTCCAGGGGGTGGTGGGCGAGCGAGAGGCGCCGACAGAGCTCGGGGGTTTGGGGGGAGATGGCCCGGGGGGGGGGGGGTGCCGGCTCCTGGGCAGCAGAGAGACAGAGACGAGGGCGAGAGAGAGAGAGCTGAGGGCAGCAGAGAGAGCTGAGGGCAGCAGAGAGACAGAGAGAGCGCTGAGGGCAGCAGAGAGAGAGAACTGAGGGCAGCAGAGAGAGCTGAGGGCAGCAGAGAAAGAGAGCGCTGAGGGCAGCAGAGAGAGAGAGCGCGGAGGGCAGCAGAGAGAGAGAACTGAGGGCAGCAGAGAGAGCTGAGGGCAGCAGAGAGAGCAGAGAGACAGAGACGAGGGCGAGAGAGAGAGCAGCAGAGAGAGAGCTGAGGGCAGCAGAGAGAGCGCTGAGGGCAGCAGAGAGAGCGAGTCGAGGAGGGCAGCGCCGGACGGCTCCGTTCGTTGGAATGCGCGGACGCGGGGACGAGACGAGGAGGAGGAGGAGCCGCGGGGAGGGAGCTGGGAGGAGGAGTTGGGAGGAGAGGGGGGGAGGAGGAGGAGTGGGGAGGAGAGGGGGGGAGGAGGAGGAGGTTCTCTCTCCGACGAGAGGCGAGAGATGAGTTGTGGGGGCAGGGAGCCAGGGACGAGGAGGAGCGGGCGGGGGGCGCGAGACCTCCCCCCCCCGGTGTCTCCCCAACGCCCCCCACACAGACCCCGCACCCAGCACAGGTGATGGGAGTCGTTTCTTGTTGACTCGGGAAACCCCTCGCCGAGTCTCGTGGCGTCGTGGGCAAAGAGGGTGTTGCCCTGTCGTGTCGTAGGGAGGTCATTTCCGCCCTGCATGCGAGAGGCTAACGACCTCGCGTGCTCTACAGGAGGTCGTGGGCTCGATCCCCACCCAGTCGCCTGCTGTACATTTGTAGTTTGCGGTGTCTCTCTCTGGCCGTGGTCGCGTGGATTTTTCGTCCGGGCCCTGCGGGTTTCCCCTCCACATTGAGAATCAACGTCGGCCGTCTGGAGTAGTTCGGCCGTTCTACATTTCCACGTGGTGATGATGAGCCACTTCGTCAAGCTATTGTTTGTGGGTATCTCGCTTCTGAAAACTCACCATATAGCAGCTCAGAGCAATACACCTGGTCAAATACAAAAAAATAGTTTGAGTTGTTGTTTTTATATCTCCTCTAAGATCAACAGCGGAGAGCCAGGAGAACACCCCTAAGGTGTGCGTGCGAGGGGACGGCACATGTGCACCTCTGGACCAATCACCTCTGCAACTATCACCTGTGCACCTATCACCTCTGCACCTGTGCACCTGTGCACCTATCACCGACAGTTCTCTGTAGCAACAGCGTTCACAGTCACCACGGAACTCGTACCAGGCTAGGGGCACCCCTTCTAGGCCGTCACTGCGAAGCGTGGAGGGCAGGAAGGAGGTCACGGGACAGCTCCCCCAGGTGTTATAGGGTTGGCTGACTGAGATGACTAGCAGATCATTCAAAGACAAAGATCCCTCGTATAGCCTTTAAAAAAACTGTTCGGGGCAAGTGCTGTTAGCGAGTAGCACCTAGGCAGGCCGGCACGGCGCACGGCCGGGGTGGGTGGCCAGCACCACGCCCGGCCGCCTTTGTCTCCCTAGTAGCGATGTTTACACATCGCACTATTTAAGGCTGAGTCGACCTAGGGGGGGGGGCAGAAACCGGTTCAGATAATCGTCACTGATGTTGGCCGTGAGCGGGAATTGAATTGGGGTCGCCGATTTCGTAGCGCAGCATAGCGCTAAACGCTACGCTACCGCTCCCCGCACGCACACACACACACACGCACACACACGCGCGCACACACACGCGCGCTATTGATGCGTGCACACGTGTGTGTGTTGTGTGAGTGTGCATCACTGTCCGACCCCCATTTATCCCCCAGCTCCCCACCCACCCCAAACAGTCAAACCCCCGATTAGCCTATGGTGCCCCCCCCCCCGCCTGACCCCCCAATACCCCCTTCGCCCCCAGCAGGCAAACGTGAGATTCTGAATTCCCAATTAAGCCGCGCTCATTACCATACCAGGGCACTGGGGGTAAAGAGTGGGTGAGTGGGTGAGTGAGCGGGTGGGTGGGTGAGTGAGCGGGTGGGTGGGTGAGTAGGTGAGTGAGCGGGTGGGTGGGTGAGTAGGTGAGTGAGCGGGTGGGTGGGTGAGTAGGTGAGTGAGCGGGTGGGTGGGTGAGCGGGTGGGTGGGTGAGTAGGTGAGTGAGTCGATGGGCGAGTGGGTGAGTGAGTCGATGGGCGAGTGGGTGAGTGAGTCGATGGGCGAGTGGGTGAGTGGGTGAGTGAGTCGATGGGCGAGTGGGTGAGTGAGTCGGTGGGTGAGTGGGTGAGTGAGTCGATGGGCGAGTGGGCTACGACGTCACCCCCACCCGCGATACATCCACCCGACCAGGCCAAGACCTGGTCCCGACTTGGGAACATGGAATTAGCCAGATATTGCCCGAGGAGGCCTCGGGCCTCCGTGGGATCCTGGAGTTGGGTTGATGGGCAGCTCGGCAAAGCGGGGATTCGTAACCCCGTCTGTGCGGCCCTCTCATCTCGAGCAGTGAGTCGATACGCACGTGTCGCGGACTGTAGTCACGTTGCGGACTCGCCACCGCCCCACCAAACTAACGACTTGAGCCCCCAGTCCACACTGCTCACTACCCCCCCCCCCCCCTCCAGCAGCACATTGGGGCGGGCGGGGTGGGGAGGGGGGCCACATTCACACGCCGGGGGCTGCGTCTTTAATGTTCCACTCTCCGATGGCGATGTCGGTCTTGCAGCATCGGCCTCGCGCTGATGTTCTGATGCGGTTGATGTCTCCACCAGCAGGAGGAGAGCGATGGATTATTGGGTCTAGGACGAGGCGTTCACTCTGCACGTCCGCGTTATCCCACTCTGGGGTTCTAGCAGGATGGGGGACAGCAGCAGCAGCAGCGGCGCCGCGATCCCAGAAGGGATGGGATTATTGGGATTCGCAGTCCACACTACGGTGCAGAGTGTCTGAACGGACGAGTTCCATAATCATCATCGAACTAAACTATACTCAACTATGTTTCCTTTATTTGACCAGGTATGGCCCACTGAGCTACAGTATTATACTCTTTTTCACAAGCGACCTGGCCACAAACGATAGCTCAACGAAGTAGCTTATCATCCACGTGGACATTGATAGCAGCCAAATACTCTAAACGCGTGACGTCGTTTCTAAATGTGGAAGGGAACAACCTAAGTACTCAGAGACAAATCCACGCGACCACGGGGAGAGAGAGAGAGAGAGACACGCACACTGCAAGTATACAGCAGCAGGCGTCGTCAGAGTCGCAATCGAACTCACGACCTCCTGTAGACCAGGCGAGGTAGTTAACATCTCCTAGCCACCGTGATCATAATAGCAGAAAGACGCAGACTCCAAATATATAGCAGCAGCAGGCACCGTCAGGGTCACGGGGTCGAACCCACGACCTCCTGCGTGCCAGGCGAGGTAGTTAACATCTCCTCGCCATCGTGGCTTAGCTGTGAAGGCGGGAGACCCCGCCCACTCGTTACGAGGCTCTGTACGTGTTAATTGTCTGTTATCTCCGTGCGTTAATTGGCTAATGCCTACTTGGTTATCAGCGGGAGCGAAGCCGGCTCCAAACGTGATCATTATCATCACCATCATCATCACACGCTGCTGATCTCTCTCTGCTCCCACGTCACGTCACATAACCACCTCTCTTTCTCTCACACACAAAGACAAAGATCCCCCGGATAGACATTTAACAGACCGTTGGGGAAAGTGGTGTTCGCGAACACCTATGACGTCCGCGACTGCACACGAGGGGGTGGGTGGCCAACACCACGCCCGGCCGCCTTTGTCTCCCCAGCGTTGATGTTCACACACACTGCACAAGTCGACCTACCGAAGAGGGTAGGCCTGGGACCGGTTCATGTATTCGCCGTCACTGTTATTGGCCGTGAGCGCGATTCGAACTCCGGGTCTCGCCGGGATCGTAGCGCAGTGCGCTAACCACTACGCCCACCGCTCCTCGTATCTGACACCACCACGCGTGCGCTGTGTGGAGGAGACCCGTGGTGACAGCAGCAGCAATGCCCCAGAGAGCGCGAGGCGCTTTAACAAGAACCCAGCGCCTGGCGGTGACAAGTGACAGCATCAGATGCCGCCATGACCCCCCCCCCCTTCCTCAGCTCTCCCCCACCGCCCCGCCCCTCGCTCACCAACACCATTGTCGGGGATTTCACCACGGTGCTTGTGCCAGGCTAGGTGCATTTTCAGGCCGTCACGTGACGTGTCAAAGGCACTCGCTGATGGCAGGAGGTCACGGGACTGACCCAGATGCCATGGGTTGACTGACTGGGATGACTGGCTGATGCATCACCTGTGCCACCGCGCTGCGTTTAACCGCCCAGCGCTCCGCTCGTTGTTGTGAGCGTCGCTCCTCCGCCCTCCGTTGTTGATGGAGGGCGACTGCCTCCAACTGCCCAGTAGCGTCCTTCACGAGCCTCCTCCACAGAGGCCGACCTTGACACCGCTGGTACCGGTCATCGGCAAGTCCACTCAGCTCCACATCCTCCTGTACCGCATCAATCAGCTCCATCTCTTATCTAGGCTGTGCCACTCACCCACCCACACACTCACCCATCAGCTCCATCTCTTCTCTAGGCCGTGACACTCACCCACCACACACTCACCCATCAGCTCCATCTCCTCTCTAGGTTGTGTCGCGCCCGTTTGGCCCCATATTTCCGCACCCCCATCTCGCCTCCGATGCCTCTGCGCTCAATTAATCGATGTACTGCACGGTCCAGTTGACGGCGTTGATGGGTGTGCGGTGGTGATCGCTACGGATTTGATGGATTATGATTGTGATGGTGAGAGGGATGTGATTGGAGGGAAGTGATGAGAGGCGAGTGATGGGAGGGGATGTATTGTGAGCGGAGTGATAGGAGAGGATGGGAGGGGATGTGATGGGAGGGGATGTGATGGGATGTGATGGGAGGGGATGTGATGGGAGGGTATGTGATGGGAGGAGATGTGATGGGAGGGTATGTGATGTAAGCGGAGTGATGAGAGGGCATGTGTTGGGATGTGATGGGAGGTGCGATGGGGGGAGCAGTGCTCGTTGAAAGATGTTGGCTTCAAACGCGCGAGGCGATGCTTGGGGTCACGGGGAGTTGGGGTCATCAAATGCCACGGCCCAGCGCCGCGCCACAACTTCAAACCACGCCTGGACAGTGGTTGAAGGTGGTGGTGGTTGTGGTTGTTATGGCGACGATCGTTGTGGTGGTGGTGGTGGGGAGAAATGGGACGAGGTAATGCGCTGAGTGTTAAGCATAACCCCTGACCCTCGCCCGGACCACGATCCAATCCCAAACATTAACCCGTGAAATTGACCCCAAAGCCTAACAATGACCCTCACTCCAAACCCACGGCTGAACCCGACC